ATTAAAGATGTGTATTTGATTTGAAATTTAAAAGATTTTTTAAGTTCTAAATAATTCATAAATTATTTATGAGTAAATTCTCAAAATGGTCCTTTGTAATACGGTATTTTCCCAAATCAATCCTCAAATGAGGATTAACTAGGAGATATTTTGATATTTTGATAATCCAAATTTAAAGTATATTTTTGAAACAATCATTTCTGTACAACTAAATGTAAAATTTAAAAAATACATTGAGTATAAATAATTTATGAATTATTTAAAACTTAAAAAAAATCTTTTAAATTTCAAATCAAATACACATCTTTAATAAGAAAAATCATTTTGGGAAAGCATTTCATTATAAATGATTATTTTAAGAATTAATTCTAAATTTAGCAGAAAAAAATAACCTCAATTAATCCTCATTTGAGTAACATTATTTATGAAGGACTATCTTGGGGATAAATCTCAATTATAGAGGACCACCTAGGTAATTAAAACTTATTGAGGACTGATTTGGAAAAATACTTTATTACAAAGGACTATTTTGGGAATAAATCTCAATTATAAAGGACCATGTAGGTAATTAAAACTTACTGAGGACTAATTTGGGAAAATCCTTTATTACAAAGGACTATTTTGGGAATTTACTCTTAATTTTTATATAAAATAAATTTTAATCCTTTAATGATCATTGTATTTTATGTTAAATAAAACTTAGTCTTATGATAGAAAGAGGATTTATATGATTTTTACATGAAAGTTCAAAAATTTCTTATAGAATTCTGTTTCATGATTGTACTATATTTTTTAAGGAAAAATAATAAAATAGGAGTAAAACATGAAGAAAACTTTAAAAAAGAAAGGTGCTTCATATTCTTTTACGGAGTATTTCCTGAATAGAACTTTCATTTTCAACATAAAATACCAAGCAAAGAGTGAAATGCCAAAATTTACTGTCATGTTATCACAAAAAAGGAATACTTCAACAAAAAAAGATATCGGAAAGGTGCGTATTTTTATTATTTTTATTATTTTATTTCAGCGATTATAACATGAATCCGTAAAAGATGTAAACATTGTTCCTAGGTTTCATATAGATCATGGGTAATTAAAGTGTAAAAGCATTGTTTATGATATTTTTCATGCATTCGTATTTTTTATATCGTATTTTAATGCATATGTACCTAGAATTTTTGAAAAAAATCGAATTGGATATTTTGGTTACTATAATTTCTATGTGATAAATTTAAATTGTTTCTTTTTATTGAGTATTAAAATTGTTTCTGATTTTCATACGTAAATTGTAATATACATAATTACTTAGCTTTTTTATTAAAGAAATAAGGTTATATATGAAATTTTAAATAAATTACTTTTTCAGGGGTTTACAATAGACTTAGGGGCTGTTTTGCAACTTCTGAATAGGTAAGTGCTGATCCAGTAAGAGGTCTGAACCATTAAGTGCTAACCAGTAAGAGGTCTGAACCATTAAGAGCTAGTATATTGCTTAACTATTCAGAGGCAAATGTCTGATCAATTCAGATAAGAGGTCTTAACCATTCAGACTCTGTATAATACTTAACCATTCAGAGGCAAATGTCTGAACCATTCAGACATCTGAACCATTAAGAGGCTGAAACAAACAGTCTGAACCATTAAGTGATGAACCATTCAGACATCTGAACCATTAAGAGGCTGAAACAAACAGCCCCTTAATAGGTTTCAAAACAATTTCTTTATTAGAAGATTTAAACTATGGCAGAAAAATATTTATCTATGAAGATAAAAAAATATGATGAGATAATGAATGTTGTGTCAACAGAGAGAGAGAGAGATTTTATTTTCTGTATGGTTATGAGTAAACTGGAAAAACATTTCTTTGGAATTCTTTGTATACCGCATTGGCATTGGCATGTTTCATGCATTGGCATTACAGCATTGCTATTACCAGGTAGACGGACATCACACTCAAGGTTCTCTATTCTCCATATGCCCCAAAGCATAATTAATCTAACAAGAAGGTCTAATCATATGGGATGAAACATGCATAACGAATAAATTTCCTTTTTTAAAGATTGGATTGTACATTGAAATTTATCATGAGATTCTTTGATAATAATTCTAAAAATAAACCATTTGGGGTGAAAATAGTTGTAATCGGAGGTGACTTTCGTCCAATACTTCCATATATATATGTATCTAGAGCTTTAGGAGAAGGCTAGAAGAGATTATTGTTAGACGTCTTTCACACCTCTAGAGGGGGGGGGGTGAATAGAGGTGTTCACAAAAATAATAAAATTTTCGGCTTTAAGTAGAAAAGTGCAGGAATAAAAATTAAAAGGATAACGGAAATAATGAATGCAAAGAGACAACGATATATCCTAGTTCGGCCTAATGCCTACGTTCAGTCCCCAAGGCAAACGTGTCCGAGATTCCACTAATCCTTGTTAAACTTAACGGAGTTTAACAATCCGAATACAACTCGAGAACTTGATTTCACAAGTCTCTAACCTTTCCACCGAAGTCTTGATTTCACAAGACTTTGGATTTCAATCCAAAACTTGAATTACTTCAAATTCAAGCTTTTTACAACTATACAACTTACAAACAATTTGCACATCGGATAATACTCTTCAAATAAGAGCGGATTTGCTGTAGATTACAATCATCGTATAGTGTATGGCACACAAAAACTTTCCAACTCAAAGTGAAGAAAGATTTCTCAAATGAAGAACTTGAATATTGAGTGGGAATATGAGGACTTGAATGAATCTCTTTGTTTAATCAAAGGAGTGTAATTGAAAGTGTTCTTGGGTGTTCTTCTCTATTGAAAAACGAGATATGATTGAATAAATAGGGATAGGGATAAAGTAACTTCCAAAAAGATTCAAAAAGTGTCCGTTAATCTGTAAAAACTGCCGATATATTCGAATAAAACACAATTTATTCGAAAAGTTTGAGTAAAACAAGATTTTTGGAAACACAGGTCTTATTCGAAAAATTACTGGATTCATTTGAATAAGACATAATGAACTGCAAAACTAGGAGCCAACTTATTCGCATAAATATGAATTTATTCGAATATTTAAAAAACTTTGGAAGCACTGGAATCAGCCCTTATTCAAATAAAACAAACATTTGTTCGATTAAAACAGACTGAATTGCAAACTGCAGAAGTCCCTCTTATTCTAATAAATCTCAATTTATTCGAATAAAAACATGGGAAGAAACATTTTTGAAGAAAAATTTTGAGAAAGGATTTTGAGAACAATCAAAGAAGAATTCCCGTAGGAAAAACAGAGTATTTGAAGAATAAAGATGTGCCAAACACTTTAACATGAACTAAGACTCAAAAGAAATAAAAATCTAGAAACCTTTAATCTTCAAATCTTGTCTTGAATCTCTAAGCAACGTACTAGGCAATCCATAAGAAAAGATCTAGATCCAAAGCTCATCCCATATGCATGGTTGTCATTATCAAAACACAAGGGTCAACAATTATAGGTGCTACTAACAATTCATCATATTTGTGGTCATATTGTAAAGTTTTTACTTTGTGCAAAAACATGAGACTTTATCGTCCACGTCCTCTGACTCAGACCTAGATACATGAAATTTTTCTGACGGGATAATCAAAATTCGGAATGGAAATCTTGATGTGCTTAATCATGGAGTTAGTGATGTCAAAATCTCTCTCGAATTCTTGATTCTTAACTCAAATTTACTTTTGAAGAATATAGTATAATTCACTTATCCAACTATATTGGGAAAATAAAAATTATATTTTCTTCGAAGATAGGGCACCATTAGTACCAATTCTCAAAAGTGTTGAAATGGTAAATTAATTTTTCATGTCCCTCATTCTTGGTGACAAAAAGGAATACCTGAGTTTGGATTTCTTCTTCTAGGCGAATGCAGATGTAAGCGTCGATGACAGTTGAAAAACAATTGAGTTTTTGAATTAAATCATGCGTCCAGCGGCAGACTTGTTCTCGAAAATTCGGCAACAGCGGTGGCGGGCTGGCCGGCGGCTGCCGGTCTGCCCGCCGGTCGGTCCTCCTCCCCTATAAAAGCTGCGCGGCTCCTCCCCTTTCCCAAGCAATTCCCTTTGTTTTTTCTCCTTTTTGGGGTGAAAATTCCCCTTCTTCTTTCCTAAATAATCTATTAAAATTGTGTTTCTTAAATTTTACTACCCAAAGTTAATTCTCAAGTTTCCAAAGTACTGTAAGTTTTTCTTTTCTTTTTATTGTAATCTTTATTGAATTTTTTATCAATAAAATATCATTTTGTTGATTGTTGATATGTCTTTAAGAATTTTATATGTTACTATGATGATGTTGAAAGTTTTGTTTGAAATTACAAATTGGTAATTATATATGGGTTAGGATTCGGAATTAAGATTTAACCAATTTAATTTTATCTATTTATTAGTAATTGGATTAATTGTTAGAAAATGAATTAATGTTTATTAACTAATAAAATGGTTTTTATTATTAATTAATCCTTGGAAACTAATCTTTTACTTTGTCTATGAGGTAAAAAGGTTAATTAAACCACACATTCCGAACACCTAGAAATAGGCAGGGTTAGAAATAACCGTTTGGAATGGTTTTAATTAATTAATAATACTAAACATTTTATTAATTAAGTAGTTGGAAAATAGTTCTTGCCTTGTCTATGAAGATTTAGAATTATTTTAGCCAACCATTTTATAGCGCAGTACTGAGACCTAAAAATAGGAGATGTACTGGAAATATAATAATCTTATAATTAATACTGAGACCTAGAAATAGGAGATGTATTAAATATAAGATTAGCATTTATGTTTT